GGGTCTCTGAAACATGAAAAGGCCACCCCAGCAGGATACTGAAGCCCACTCTTCCTGTTGGCAGTTTGCTAAAGATCCTGCCCATGCCTTCCTCTTTCAGTAAGTGCACAGGATGGACACTTTTCCATTCACATTTCAGCCATATTTCTCCATTTATATGCAGCTAATTCTGCTTAGCCTTTGTTTGGGGAAGCATCTTCTATTTTTGTGCCTAGTGTTGTAACAATTGAATTTTCAAGAGTTATGCTGTGGTCTGGTCATGAGGTTGCTATTCCATACCTGCATTCTGCCATGCCCTTGGTTCTGCATGGTGGATTTTTTGACACAAGTGAAAAGATTCCTGTATGTCATTTGATTGTTGGTTTCCCACCAGATCAATGATGGGATCTGTAGGAAACCATCCAAAATAGAACCTGAGCTAGTCATATTAGCTCCTCATATAACTGAGAATCAGTTTCCTCTTAATCCCAGAGCTGCCTGGATTAAAAACATATAAAACATAGTTCATGTGAGGCTCGGAGGCATACATCTGTAATCCCAGTGGCTTGGTAGGCTGAGGCAGGAGTATCACAAGTTCAAAGCTAGCCTCAGCAGCTTAGTGAGATCCTGAGCACCTTAGTGAGAAAATAAAATAAAATAAAAAATAAAAAGGACTGGGATGTGGCACAGTGGTTAAGTGCCCCTGGGTTCAGTCCCCAGTAACAACAACAACAACAAAACCAGTCCAGGACATTGTGCTTGATACTAGAAACTTTTCTTTAATTTTGGTACTGGGGGGGGGTGTCAAACCTAGGGTGTCACATTTGCTAGGAAAGTGCTCCACCACTAAGTCACATCCTTGGCCCCCTTTTAAACTTTTAAATGCACAGATTTTTTGTTTTTCTTTTGTGTTACTGAAAATCAAACCCAGGGCCTTGAAAATGCTAGGCAAGTACCACTAAGCTACATCCCCAGTCCTTTTATCATTTTGAGGCAGGGTCTTGCTAAATTGCCCAGGCTGGCCTTGAAACTTGCCATCTTCCTGCCTCAAATTTCCAAGTAGCTAGGATTACAAGTGTGCACCAACTTGACCAATGAATGCATTTTTTTTGTTCTATGCATTGATATTTTATTAGTAGTAGTAGTAATAGTAGTACCGATAATTTAACCCAGGGATGCTTTACCACAGAATTATATCCCCAGACCTTTTTAATTTTTTATTTTGAAACAGATTCTCATTAACTTGATAAGGGCATCAATAATTTGATGGGGGGGCTGGGGATGTGGCTCAAGCGGTAGCGCGCTCGCCTAGCATGCGTGCGGCCCGGGTTCGATCCTCAGCAGCACCACATACCAACAAAGATGTTGTGTCCGCCGAGAACTAAGAAAAATAAAATAAATAAATAAATGTTAAAACTCTCTCTCTCTCTCTGTCCCCCTCTCTCACTCTCTCTTTAAAAAAAATAATAATAATTTGATGGGCTGGCCTTGGATTTGTGATCCTTCTGTATCAGCCTCCTGAATCGCTGGGATTATAGGCATGTAACACTACACCCAGCAAATGGCAAATGCAATATTTTGTTTTGTTTTAAACCCAGGGGCATTTAACCACTGGGCCACATCCCCAGCCCTTTTTATTTTTTATTTTGAGACAGGGTCTAACTAAGCTGCATAGTGCCTCACTAAATTACTGAGGCTGGCTTTGAACTTGTGAACTTCTTGCCTCAGCTTCCCTAGCCCCTGGGATTACAGGCATGAACCACCACACTGGCAATAACTCACTTTTTTCCTCATAGAGAAGTGTTGCAAGGGAAAACACAAAATGTTTGTGTGGTCATGTCTCCCCCCACCCCCCAATAATGAGAATTGAGTCCAGGGGCACTTTGCCACCAAGCTACCTCCCCAGCCTTTTTTGTTTTGTTTTTAATTTTAAGGCAGGGTTTCACTAAGTTGCTTACGGCCTCACTAAATTGTTGAACTTGAAATCTTCCTGTCTCAGCCTCCCAAATTGCTGGGATTACAGGCATGCACCACCACACCTGTCTGGTTGTATATCGAAAGTATGGTTATAGGTAACATTGTTATTAGTATAAACCTTTCATGGAAAAGCTTGCCAACCACCACCAGGTTGTCTCTTGCTCTTTTATCACTCATCTTTATGACACTGGAGATTCTGTCACTCTTTGGGGCTGTCAGAGTAGCAGGCAGAGCACCTCTTATAAGAAAAGGGAGTTCATGTTGGTAGTGTGGAGGCCCAGACTGTGGCCAATGCCCAGTGCAGGAAGGAGTTTCAAACATGCAATTCTCTCCATCACTCTCCTGCTCTCTCATTCTCATGAACTGGTACTTCTCCTGACAGGTTCATAAGAAGTAAGGGGCAAGCCACTCCACCAAGTTCATACTTTGGCCTAGCACTATCCAGAACTCTTGTCATGGTGGAAATGTCTTTATCTGTGCTGTCCAATACAGTAACCTCCAGCCACATGAATATCAAGCACTTGAAATGTGGCTGTTGGGCCCAAGAGCTGAGACTTAAATTATGTTTACTTTAATTAAATACATTGTAATTAATTTTAACAGACTATCGACTACTATAGTAGACTGCAGCTCTGGCCAATTCCCAACCCAGCTCCTCCCCTTTCCATCCAGAACCCAAAGGAATATGCTGCATGTGCAAGTGGGTTGGGAGGCCAGGTGAGGCCACAGTAGGGGTGGCCAGGGAGGTGAGAGGTGGTGGTCAGACCAGCTCAATACCAGGTCCTATTTCCAGTATGTCTACAAGACCTCTGTGGGAGGTGGCCAGTTTGCAGCAGCCCCATCCCCACCCTAGTGGCCATCACAATCAAGAGTCAGGCCAACATACAATGCCACCGGCAGGAGGTTGAGCAGCAGCCTTGTGCCTGTGGATGGTTTCCTCCAGGGCAGGTCTCTTTGTCTGCAGACCTATTTACAGCAACTCCAGCGTCAGAGGACCAGTTTCCTAGGGAATAGAAAGGCATCCAGCAGCTGAGTGGCCTTAAGCTGGAGGCCAATAGGAAGAAGCAAAACAAGTGTGGGCTTAAGATAAAAGTATGTATATCTCCAAGGATGTAGGCAAGTTCTGCCTACCCCTGTGGTTCCCATGTCTGGTTTTCCACTAGAGCTGCTAGGGAGTAAGAACCTGGTAGAAATGCAGATCATAGTCAGGTGTGATGTGAATGCCTGTAATCCAATGGCTCAGGAGGCTGAGGCAAGAAGGATCTCAAGTTCAAGGCCAGCCTGAGCAACTTAGTGGGACTCTGTCTCAAAGTAAAAAATGAAAAGGACCAGGGATATAGCTCGATGGTAGAGCACCCTGAGTTCAATCCCCAGCATTGCAAAAAAAAAAAAAAAAAAAGAAAGAAAGAAAAAAATGCGGCTCACCAGGCCCCTGCAACAGGTCTGTTCTGAGAAGTACCTCCAGCATAGCTGTTGGAGGGGAGTTGAGGTGAGGGAAGGGAGCAGGCTCTGCCCTCATACAGGTACTCTGCACTGCTCCCACTAACACCAAGTTGTTGGTTTCCAGGGCTGGGCAGACAGGACATCCCCCAGAGAGAACATCTTCAGTGGAGAGCACTGAAGACCTTGAACTACTGCTGGTGAAGTAGGCTGTTCCAGAGACCAAGAAGGTGAGGGTAGCAAGCACCCCTCCTCCCCCCACACACACACTCCAACCACAAAGTGCTCTGCTGGGGCTTTCCAGGAACCCAGCACATGGAAGGGATGGTGAGATCCTGGAGTGGTATAGACATTTATGTCCAAAGGGCACACAAGAGCCTCATCAGCAAGGGCATGGCTTGCCATCCATGCTTATGACCTTGAACTCTTACATGAGGGTTGCATCAAGGTAAGGATCAGAGGGAAGTAGAATTTAGGAGAAGACTACCTCTACAGCCGCCTTTGTGGACAAAATCCTAGGAACTCTCAAATGCAGATTCCCCCCAGCTACTCTAGAAGCTGAGGCAGGATGATTGTAAGTTTGATGTCATCCAGGGCACCTAGTTGAGACCTTGTCTCAAAACTTTAAAAATTAAAAAAGGGGCTAGGGAGCCAGGCATGGTGGTACACACCTGTAATCCCAGCAGCTCAGGAGGCTGAGGCCAGAGGATCTTGAGATCAAAACCAGACTTAGCAATGGTGAGGTGCTAAGCAACTTACTGAGACCCTGTCTCTAAATAAAATACAAAATAGGGCTGGGGATGTGGCTCAGTGTTCAAGTGCTCCTGAATTCAGTCCCCAGTACTCAAAAAAAAAAGGGGGGGGGTTGAAGATTTAGCTCAGTTATAAAGAGCTTGCCTAGCATGTGTGAGACTTTGGCACTGAAAAAAAAAGAAAGAAAATTTAAAAATGCGCAGATTCCCTAAGCCCAGCTGCACTGAAAAAAAAAAAAGAAAGAAAAAAAAAAATACGCAGATTCCCTAAGCCCTACTGCACCTCTCTAAGTTCTAGGGTCTGGATGGAGCCCTGGGCAGCAGCCCAAGGCCTGTCTACAGGACTGCGATTAATCTTAAGAACAAAACAGGAGCATGTGGGGCCAATCCTTCCTTAATATGCTCAGCAGGGAATGAGAACACCATGGTGTACTTTCTCACATTCTGGTGAGTAGAATCTGTGTGATATGGTAAACAGAATTGTGGGAATAACAAATTTAAAAGAAAAAAAAAACAAATACAGCCTATAAACAAGTGTTTTTTTCTGAAATGAGCCACAAGTAGAATAATGCCTTCCCCGCTTCTAAGAGCAGCCCTAGGAGCCAATTGAGTGCATGCTGATACCTGGCTAGAAGGTCACTCAACCCTCCCAACTGGCAAATGAATAGCAAACCTGTCATTTTGGGCTCTCCCAACTGAGTGGGTGTGAAAACTCCAGCTTTTGTTCTTTCAGCTTGTTAACAAGAATCACAGCCTAATGGGTTGCAGCAACTACTCATGGCTGCCCTGTGATAGTTCCACTTGTGTGGACGCAGGTGGGGAACAGAAATATGACGACAGAGACAGGCACTCTGCCAGGAGGAAGACGTCAATAATCACTTTATTAAGGCTCTGAGTGTCTGCCGGTCAAAGGAGGAGGCCGAGTCATGAGCTCCACAGCCCCCACCATGGTCAGTATGACCCTGAGACCCTCTTTGCTATCCATAGTCCATTGTGCTCCACTCACAAGGCTCTGCTAGAAAAGGGTATAGACAAGCAATTCAGGGAGCCCTCAGCAAGGGTACTCCTGCCCCAGTGGGGCTGGCTTCAGCAGGCCCTGGGATCTGGTGGGGGAGTGGCAGGGAGGCACAGGAAGGTAGGGACATCCCCCAGCCTTCCCAGCCAAGCCTATGGCTTTTTTATCCTGTTGCCACCTGAGCAGGAGTGGAGTGTTTCCCCACTCGGTCCCTGTGCAACACTATGAGGTGATAAAGCCCTGGAGAAAAAACAGGCACTTTGTGCCTGCCACCATCAAACTACAGGAAAGCTGTGACTCTGTTCCTGCTCCCCCTCTGCTCCTCCCAGCAAGTGCTTCTCAGGTTGAGGCTGGTCACTCAGAAGTGGACCCGCAGCACATCCTGGCTGGCAACTGGCTGCTGGCAGGCTGTGCATGTCATGGGCAGGGAGCGCTGCTTCTCAGCCAGGCAGGGTCGACATAGGAGGTGACCACAGGGCAGCTGGTACATGGGCTCCTTTTTGAAGTAGGAAGAAAATGTTCTTTTGCAGGAGGCACATTCAGGGCCTGCGATGCTCCCAGGCTGCTCTAAATCAGGAGACAGGATAGAGTTAGGGAAGGCTATTCCTTGGCCCAGGCTCACTCTGAAAGTCTGGCTTTTTCCTTCCTTAGCCCATCTCTACTCTGGGAGAAGAGGTGACAGGGTACTGGATAAACTGGCAGGCCTCCTCTCTATAATCTCTGACCAAATCTCAAGATTCCTGTGACTGTTCAAGATGAACTGGCCTCCGGGACCAACAAACAGGACCAGCCCTTACCCTAGTTTCCCAGCAAGGTATACTCTCCTGAACAGGTACAAACTCATCCTCCTAATTGCAAGAAAAGGTGAAATGTGACAAGAAAAGAGAAAAGCAGAAAGTGGACAGTTAGGAGGTCACAAGAGGGACAGCTGAGATTTGCTTTCAGTCACCTTCCCAACACCTCAATCCTTATCCTGTGCTATCCTGGCCTCTAGGGCAGGCCTCCCAGGGGGCCTCCTGAAGCTCCAGCCACTCCTCCCCCTCCCCAAGCTGCACCTGTGGTGCTCTTCCTTCCCTGAGGTCCTTGCCTGAGAAGCTGCTCTTTATCCCCTACTCTAGGGAGAGGCAGGAGCTGGCCTCACCTGTCTTCCTTCAGGTCCACTTCTCCATTCCTAGCCACCACTCCATAGGGGACCCCCAAAGCATCTCAAACTTTGAAACTTCTTAAACCTTAAAGTTCTACTTTGAAAATTCTTAAACCTAGCTCCCCCGACTCCATCCACTTTCATCATTATAATCCCAGCTACTTGGCACATCTCTTCCTGCCTGGATCACTTTCCTCCAGACTTTTCCTGGACATCTATTCTCAGCCCCCATCCATACAAGAACACAACCTGACTCCCATGCCTCTGCTTTACACCTCCTCAGAGTGCTCCCCACCTTCTGGCAGAGTCAATCCCTGTGTGGCCTATGCAGCCTCGTCTCCTTCACACCCACTCTCATTCTTTAGGATCCAGCAACTTCAAATCAGTTCTTTTCTGCATATTTTGCTATTGCTGGTCTCCTGACATTGTGCTTACTGTTCCCTCTGCTTGAAATGTCCTTATGACATGAGGCTCAGATCACACCCCTTTCAGGAAGCCAATCCTGAATGCCCCTCTCCTGTGCCTCTGGAGCTTTTTACAGTTGTTCTCACACATGCCTGTTTCCTCCCCTAGCTCTGGAAGCCCACATTCATGCTTCTCCTCAGTCCATTCTTGGGGCCTAGCAAAGCACTTCATGTGGCCCACATTCAGTAAGTATATGTTGAATGGATCTGTCTTCTGCACAAAGGGACCAGACATCAAGAAATGCACCTCAGCTCCCTGCACTGTGCACCCCAAACCTCACAGGGAAGTCCAAATTGCAAGGTGGTCTAAAGAGTGCTGCCCTACCTCAATATCCCTGAGGCTGTGGCCAAGAAAGAAGGGCCTGGCCTCCAGTGTTTTCATTAAACAACCTAAAAGAATCAATGTATGTCCTCTAAACAAACAGGCCAAGAATCCACAAGGAGTTGAAATATTCCCTTCCTTACTGGAGAATCTCTAGAATGAAGGGAAAACAGAAGGGAGAAAAAATGCAGGGAGAAGGAATGAAGAAAAGGAAGCAAAAGGCCCCAATTCTCTCTAGCACCAATGAGAAGTTCCATTGAAGGGTTTTAAAGGCCTAAAGCCCCAGGGGCAGTTTCAGAGACAGAAAACAAAAGTCACTAAGAAATAAAGAAAAGACACAGAGTGAGATGAGTGAACCACAGTGTGGCTTCAGATGAGATGGAGAGGAGGGGAGGCAGGGCTACAGCATGCAGACTTCAGAGACAGCAGGAGGCTAGGTTCTATTTTAAGTTCAATGGTGTGCCATAGAAGGATTTTAATAATGAAGCGCAGTTGGTAGAGTGCTTTCCTCATATGCACAAGGCCCTGGATTCAATTCTCAGCAACACCAACACCACAAGAACAACAAAAAATGAAGCACAGTGATCCTGTTTATATTTTAATAAGATACCTCTAACTCCTGTGAGGGTACTGAAATAGTGAGCAAGGGTGACTGAGGGGAGCCAGCAGGGCTACTGCAGGGCTGGTGGAAAAGCAGCAGGAGTGGTGTCATGGTGGCAGTCAAGGGAAGCAGGGCACAGAGGACTGATCTAAGAACGACTCTGGAGGAGTAATGAAGGAAATGTCAAGGTCAGGACACTGACTTTCATGTTAAAGGCCTGACACAGGTAGAATATACTGCTTTTTGCCCAGATGAGCTGATTGAGGGGTGGAGGGGAACTTTAGAGGGCAGGTACCCATGAAAAGAAGCTGAGCAGCTGTAGGGAGACTGGGGGTCTGAATCCCAAGGAGAAGTAGGAGCTGCATGGAAGGGAAGGGAGCCCCAAACCTCCCTAGTACTCCAGATGTCATATGGGAGACTGGCTAAATGAGAAAAATAAAAAAGAAGAAACAAAACTCCCCAGGAGAGAATATTTAACATGACATCTTAGAAAGAAACATAGCAAAAGAGTAGCTAAGCCATGAGTCCACGGATTGACTAAGGGCTGACTGAAGAAGGCCTTCCCTCTGAAGGTCAGTTTGCCAGGAAGCCCGTTACCTCCTCTTGGAGAAGGCAAACAAGCAGTGTTCTCCCCAGGTTGGAATTAAGGAAGGAGGGAGCTGGCTACACAGGTCCATAGAGCCCCCAGGGACAAGCCTAGCATTCTGTACAGGATGGGCCACCTATTCTATGGCTCTAGGAAGATACAGGGGGGAGGGACCCAGGTTACCCGAGCTGGCGCTTGGCCTCCCAGTAGTGCTGCTCCCTCTTATGCCCAGGTGCTGGAGCTGTCCCCTGGTCAGTCGGGCTGTGAAGGAGGGCATGGAACCAAGGGTGGACATCAAGGCAATTTCCAAGCTTTGCGATAGCTTCTGCTCATGGGACACTGGATCTGTTGAGAGATGCAGAGACTACAACATTCAGAGGAAGTTCAGCAAAACAAGTCACAAGTCCTTTGAGGACTACAAAATAGCACCTTCAACTCTATAGACATACATAAATGTAAAAAACAAACAAACAAACAAAAAAAACAAAAAAACCACCTTTCTACTATCTCTTGATGACAGAACACAGGAAGTCATAGGCCTGGAAACCCTGAAAGTTCCTCTCCATCCCTCATGACTTCAAGGCCTTGGGCTCTCTAGCTTCCTGATCCTGAACAAAGTGCAGGGCAGGCAGGGGCCACCTTGTGGCTCCATGAGGAACTGCAGCAGCCTTTCTAAAGGCCTCCCTGGAGTGCGCCAAGAAAAGGACAAAGCTAACAAATACCAGGTTTGTACCCCTCTCCCTCCTCCCATCTTCCTTCCCCAGCTGCCTTAGTCTTTGCCTTCCTCAGCTTCTCCTACTGGGACCCTCAACACCAGGCAGTGATACTTGCCTGAGTTCTAGGTGTTGTGTCCTCTTTCTCCTGGTAAGTAAAGCGGAGTGGACTAACCTTAGTCACTCTGACCAGATCATGATCTAGGTAAGTAAAGCAGAGTGAACTAACCTTAGTTATTCTTTCTGACTAGGTCATATCAGAAAGCCAAGATATAGGATGAGGGTCGGGGCAAGAGGGGTTTGGGGGACAGCTGCTCAAGAAAGGCCCCAGGTATCAGCCTGTTGGCAGAATTTGCAAGACTTCCCCAACTCAGGAGTGGAATATTTTGTCAGGTTTGTAGGACATAGGACATCAACTTAGGGCCTTCAAGGACCACTAGTCCACATGGCTCTGTGTCACCAAGTCTGTCAAGACCAACACCAGTGAAACTTCTACAAACAGACAAGAGATGTAAGGACCTTGTTGCATCCCATTGAACCTCAGATGCTTCCAGGAATTCCTGGGGTCATGCCAAAGACACAAATGTAACCATTAAGCACATTCTCAGCATAGCCTTTTAGAAAAAGACAGGAAATTAAAAGAATAATAAGATTTAAACAGACGGAGTTTCATAAGGAAAAAAGCTGTCAAAGAAAGAGGTTCCTCCAAAAGCAAGAGGCACTAATCATTAAAGGGAGTCTACCAAAGATGCAAAGAGTAGATTATTCTGATACTATTATATTGTTCCAGAATACAGAAAAGGAAAATTTCCAAATTCTTTTTATGAAGTAAAAAAAAATCCCTGATATCAAAGCCTGTCCAAAGATAAACAACAAACTGAGAAAATATATTTTTAGCTCACATTAAGGTCAAAGGGCTAAACTTGATAAAATATAAAAAGTTCCTAGAGATAATTGGGAAACAACAACAACTGATTGAAAATGGGCAAGGAAGTGGGCAGTCGATTCACAGAAAAGAAAACAAAAATAGTTTTTTTTTTATTAGAAATGTTCAAGCTCACTAATAATAAGAGATATAAAGCAATCATAAGATACCATTTTTTTACCTTTCAAAATAATAGCTCCTCAATAAATAATAGTTCCTCAATTCCACAATGTGTTAGTAAGCTAAGAGGAATCTCATATCACTAGTGGAATGGTCGTGAGGGCAACTGGGCAATATCTATCAAGTCTACAGAAGAATATAACCCAGAAATGTGAATTCTATGATACTGTCCTACAGAGACAGCTGCAGTTGTAAAATTACATATGCACCAGGTTTATTCTGTGCAGCAAAAGATCAGAAAATAACTTACCATCAAAAGGACAGGGTAAGACTGTTTCACTCTGTGTGTGTATACAATCTGCTTTTCAGTTTTTAAAAACTACATGAATACATTGCTTTTGTAAAAACAAAAGGTACTAAAATTAGGCTTAGTTAAAATAGCACAATGATAAACACAGCCTAAAGATTTATGGAATCACCTTTAAAACTCTTACCTAATCTTAGATGTCCCAAATCACTAATCTTTTGTTTCAATTTTGCAGTTCAAAAAACTCAGACTTTAATCTTTTTTTCTAAGTTTTAAAACAACTTTTGCTCTAAATCATTCACTCTGACCTAAAGATAAATGTCTACATTGAGGCACTAGAATTTCTGCTCATGCTGCCTAAGCTGAGAAGACTTTTTAAAATTTATACTTTTTCATCTGTCTCTTCTACTTTTACTAGAATTAAGTATATTACTTGTCAGTCTTATTTGGAACACATATAAATCACAATGGTCTTTCATGCAGAGCCCATTATGAACATGAACGGGGGTTCATCAAAATGAAGGCCCCAAAACTAAGCCCAATAACTACATGAAGAGGGTGGTGGTGATTGATGGGGAAAACAAAGCTTAAGCAAAATCACATGGCTGGCTGGCTGGCTGGCTGACCGTTCAGCTGCAGAAAGGCTAAGCCTGCTATCCTGAGGAGAGGGCAGCATCCCTGGTCCCAGAAATCACTGGCAATGCCCTGGGGAAGAAGTGGGAAGCCAGAAGGCTTAAATTTCATACTAAAGAACACTGTAATTGTTCAAGTACTTATTGACACCTGTTCTTCAGTACGACTTCTCTCTCCTAAAAGTAGGACCCTCCAACTTAGTTATTTTCTGCTTTTCTGTGTGCTCATGGCACCTCGTGGTGAGGTAAGGCAGGGAGGATATTAATGCACTTCCACCAGAGCTCCTCTGTGAAAATTCAAACAACATCCTAGAAGATACATGATGAACTGTAAAGACAGAAGATGGAAGACATGGTCTGCTTTGAGGGACTAGTGTCTCTTTTCCCAGAAGTTTTGACCAGAGGATTCAAGCCAGGAAAAACTTTTGGCCTGGTCAGAGCACACCAAGGGAGTCCAAGGCAGGGAAACTCACAAGCAGGACCATTAGTAGATGAAGGAACAAAACACTGAGACAGAAGCCTGGAATAGAGAACCTCCCAGGCCTCCAGATTGTCTGTGGTCTGAAGACAGCTAAAGCTGAGGAACTCTCCAATGAAAATGAGCATAAAGAAGGTCAGGCCCTAGCCAGAAGAACTGAAGCTGGCAAAGCACAGAGCCAAGGGCCACAGTGCCATATGTCATCAGGAAGAACAGGGAGGCCACTGGGCCATGGACACAAGACAGCAAATTACCTGTTGAGCAGTCCATGTGCGTTAGGCCAAGCTCACTGGTGGTTTTCATTTTCTTGGAGGTGTGCTCTGAGGTAGTAGGTGAGACCAGAGGATTTGTGATAGTAAAACAGGAAGCATTCACACCAAAGCTACTGCCTGGGGTCCGCTCAGCCTGCTCTATCTTCCTTTTCCGTGAGGGCAGGGCAATGGAAGAAGGGGTCACTGCCAAAGTAGTCTGAGCTCTCCCAAGTAGGTGACAGCCAGGGATGGAGTGCTGAAGCAGGAAATGATCAATCCTGGCCTTTAGGGAGGGGTGGGGCAGGGGCTGGGAGTGTGGAGTAAAGGCTACCCCAGTAAAAGGGTCACTGGGCACTCGGCCCCATGTAGCTTCACTGCGGTTACACTTTTCCAGTGTGCTCTGGTCAATGACCTTGCCTGAAGGTAGCAGCATGGGGCAAGGCATGATCTCCAGGGTGATGGGATCCAGGAACTCCTCGGGCACATCACCAACTGCCTGAGCCAATTCCTGCAGGCTAGAGGGGGCCTGTTGGGTCTCAGGCTGGCTCCCCGAGTCACAGTCACTCTCCATGGGCAAAGCTGGAGTTTGCAAAGCCAAGTCCTGAGGCAGATTCTCTGAAGCCACCAGTAGGACACTGTCTATCACCTCCTGAGAGCAGGTCTTGGCTGGCTGACCCCACACTTCCAACCGCTTGATGCAAGGAATACCACTGCCTGTTACATGGGTGATACCAATCTTTAGATGAGCCACGTGGCTAAGGGAAAGAGTCCCTTTATTCCAGAGCTCCTGGGCCATAACAGCAGGGGAGGGGAGTGTGATTTCCATTGGGCTAAAGGGTGGCCTGGCCTTGAATCCCCTGTGGCTGAACACCACTTGGCTCTGGTTTTTCAGTAAGACTTTGCCTACCAAGGTGAATGCCTCCTTGTCAGGAACAGATGGCTCAGCTGGGCCTGGGGTCTGGCACTCAGGTGTATTCCAAGAGGCTCTGCTGGATAAGGCAGATGTGTACATTTCCAGGCCAATGACATTCTGGCCTCCTCCAGCTGTGAGGTCTATGTTAATCCTACAGATTTCCACATTAAAGGGAAAGGAGACTGTCACGTAGATTGGTGGCTTAATGAAATACTCTGTCCTAAAACCACGGCTCCTCTTTGTGAGGTCTTCAGAGATGAGATTTTCTACTTCGTAACCATCAGCTGATATCTAGATTTAATGACAAATATGAGACATACTGATTCAAATGAAGATGCTGCTTTGCAAGAACTTGTCATTTCTAAGAAAACTAAAGTGTGAAGTTCTTCATTTTAAAATTTCCCCTACTAAACTAAATTGTCCCAGTTTTTTTTTTTAATAAATTGCCTGTTATTTATTTATTTTTTTTTAGTTTTCGGCGAACACAACATCTCTGTTTGTATGTGGTGCTGAGGATCGAACCCAGGCCGCACGCATGTCAGGCGAGCGCGCTACCACTTGAGCCATATCCCCAGCCCCCAAGTCAAAGGCTGAAGGCAGCAATTGTGTTCAGCACTATAGCCCAATTATATAAAATATATATATATATATATGTAATAAAACTCTACCCAACCTACCCAAAACTTCCTGCAAAATAACATCTCTGTGAGGAGGCAGATATACTAGTGGTTTTTTATTTCAGAGGATGAAAACATGCAGATTTAAAGGAAAACAAAAATGTGCCTTAAAGTTCTCAATTTATATTTGAATCCCACCAATTATAACAGTTTTCCTAGGAAGGCAAAATAAACAATCTGATTATAAATCTATAAATGATGACACTGGTTTAAAAAAAAATGTATTCAGGAAAAAGGACCACAAAAGACTATGGACATTTAAAACAATAAATGGGTTTTGGTAGGGGTTTGTGATGACTTCTTCCCTTTTTTAATATTTCTAATACTTGTTAAAATTAATGGATATTTTAAGGCATTTTTGTCTGAAGGAGTCAGCCCAATAATTTGGGAATGTAAAACAGTATGCTGTATGCAGAAACTCTAAATTAGGGAAGGGGTTCAATTTTTTCCTTGCTGTTTCCTTATTCCTTGCTTTGTGCTGTGAATAGATATCTTCCTTTGCACAAAAAGGGAAGAAGCTTAATTCAAATAATAAATAGCAAGAAATCCAAACAACAAATACAAAACATTACTTCCAGTATTAGAAATTAGCAAAAGAGCCAGATGTGATGGTGTAGGCCTGTAATCCCAGCGATTAGGGAGGCTAACACAGGAAGACTGCACAACTCAAGGCCAGCCTCAGCAACTTAGAGAGACCCTGATTCAAAAAAATAAAAAGGGCTATAATCTAGTTCAGTGTTAAAGTGCCCCTGGATTCAATCCCTAGTACCAAAAAAGAAGAGCGTCGTGTAGGGAAAGAACAAAAGAATGGGGGTGGGGGGTAATTTCCACTTTTGCTTTGACTAAGGGTAGAACTGAAATTGACTGTTCTAGAGGGAAAAGACAATGAAGACAACCCCCCACAAAATGAATCACAGCTTACCTCATAATGGTGCTCTATGATTCCAGAGGTAAGCCTGCCCCATGCTCACCTAAATGCCCTCTGGAGGAATCAAAGGGCGAAAATATAATAAACCTGAATCATGTCCTCATGTGCAAGGCAGGAAATGGGAAAACTCAGGAAAAATGTGTTGTATATCTATGTATATGTATTTGTTTTGTTTACCTTGTTGCAGTGAATTCTTGGTTTAAATTGTGGGAGACAAAGATTTATGACCATCTTTGTGGCTGAAAGGATAGCTTCCAAGTATCAGAAACAGCCTTAAATAAAAAATAAAACTTGGTATTAGTCATACCAGTTAAAATACAGTTCTAAACTTTCAAGAGTTCCTAAGAGAAGAGAAACAGGGTAACAACAAAAATTTCAATATACACATAACTCTCACAGACTATACTCACTCTCCTTATGTCCTTCACATGATGCTGGGAAAAAATTAAATTAACCAATAAAAAAGTATGAAAGAAATTTCTAGTGTAGGATCCACAAGTTGGTAAAGTCTAACAGTTCTCTGGCCCAACAGAAGTGCAAAGATCCATTAGAGGCAAAGTCGGTTAAGTCTGCAGGAGGCTACCCACAGGAAAGGGACAGTCAAAAATGACTTGAACTCAGAAAAAGAACAGAGGTTTAGAATGGAAAGGGTCACAGAAAATAATCACAGTAATGTTAAGCATCTTTATTATTTAACATTTGTTAATACAAGTATATTTTCCTGTTAAAACAGACAATTAGGGCTGGGGTTGTGGCTCAGTGGTAGAGCACTTGCCTCACATGTGTGAGTCACTGGGTTCAATTCTCAGCACCATGTATAAATAAATGAATAAAATAAAGGTCCATCAACAATTAAAAAAATATTTAAGAAAGAAAGAAAACAAAGACAATTAGAAGAGTTAAAAACATCATTATTGCCAGGGATGGTGGCAAACACCTGTAATCCTAGCTATTTAGGAGGCTAAGGCAAGAAGAGGTCAGCCTGGGAGTGAAAGCCTGCCTCAAAATGGAAAAATAAAAGGACTAGGGATGTAGTTCAGTGATAGACCACCCTTGGGTTTCAATACATAGTACCACACACAAAAAGAAAAAGAAAAAGAAACAAAACAATCATGATTGAGAAGACTGTTAGGATTTTTATTGGATTATACTGAATCTACAGAACAATTTAGGGAGCTATTATGACATTTTAATGAAATTCACGAACATAGCACTTCTATTCATTTATTTAGGTTACACCAAATTTCTTCCTGATGAATTGCAATTTGGATGTCCTTTAAAAAAAACTGAAACAATAACATGATCATAAATGACTGCTGATGTTTACCAAGTGCTACGTGTCATGCCTTTTGTTAAATGCAAAATGTGTAGCATCTATCTCATTTCATTCTCACAGTAACCTTAGGTGGGTACTGATATCCTTATTGGGCAGATGAAAAAACTGAGGCCAAGGAGAAGTTAAGCTGAGTTTCAGATTCCAAAACTTCCCTTAGGCACTCTGTGGCCTATGTGGGCACCATTTGCCTTGAAGGATTTACCATGAAGTAATGTAGCTGAAAAGTAGATGTTAATGCCTTACAACTTTCTTCTTCTGTTACTTGGATCAAGATATGATATAATTGATTTAGAAAAACAATTTTCTAGACTTGAAATTAATGTGACTATGCCCTATTATGTACAAATGGGGAAACCTTGATTGTCCTTCCCAACTTGCGCTGGAACAGGTCTCAAATAGTTTTTTAAGGAAAATCTTAATGGATCCTTCACACTGGTACTTTAGAGGAAGTTTCTTGCCTGTATGGAGATAGGCTAGCCTACTAGTTAAGTGTAGTAGAGCAGAATGAAAACTTTAGCAGTTTAAGAACTGACAGGTGGTAGTTCTGCATGCTAACACACACCAGCTCTGCTTACTGACATTTAACCATAGAGGCCTGCAGCAGCTAACAGGTAGCTTTAAAAGATAACTGCAGTAGCAGAACCAGGAAACAAAATGATAGGGACAAAATAATCTCCCTTTAGGTTTGGTGCAGTAAAAGTCCCTAAGCTGTATGAGCTAAGTCCCTAGTTTGTTGACAGGCTTGTACCCATATAAGGAATGTAAATGTACCCTCCAATAGAATTACACCATCTCTCCTGATTTGATGTACACAAAACTTGCTTATGTAGAAAAGTAAAAGCTCTCCTATGCTTGGGGCTCAGACTTTGGGATTTATCCCTCTGGGCCGTGGCCACTAATAAAGTGTTGCTTCCAGATCTTGGTGTCCTGACTCTCATTTCCCACTATATAAGCATCTCACCTCATGAGCTTTTCCATCTTGTTCAGAAGTCGTCAACTCTACCAGTCAACCATGAAAGCAAGGCCTGAGTAGACACAACTACTTACTCTCAATAGAACTTACCAAAATGTAATTTCAAGGAATAATCATGCAGACTGTTCAGTCCATCCATAGTAAATTCTCTTCAGTGCCAGCCTAAGTGGCACTTCTGGCCTTCTGCCTGGTATACCTGCTGGCTACTGCAAATCATATCCCACATCACCACCTGAGAGATTTTGCTGCAGTTTGGATTTTCAGCTATAGAAAAACAGATGTAACACATTAATAAAAATTCAGTAGCCAATCTATGAAGATTCATAGGCCCCATCAACCGAGAACAGCAATTTGAGTCTCTAAAACATAAACTTCGGGGCTGGGGATGTGGCTCAAGCGGTAGCGCAGTCACCTGGTATGCGTGCGACCCGGGTTCGATCCTCAGCACCACATACCAACAAAGATGTTGTGTCCGCCGAGAACTGAAAAATAAATATTAAAAATTCTCTCTCTCTCTCTCTCCTCTCTCACTCTCTCTTTAAAAAAATAAAAATAAAAATAAAAATAAAACATAAACTTCCTTGAGCATCATGATCCTCAGAGCAGACCATATCCAACTTCATTCATCCCAGCCACCACATCACTACACACTTCTCAACTCACCACAACTCTTCACCAAACTTCCCTGGCATAATGTGATCTATTAGCAAGGAATTTCATAAGACACAGCTCTGCAAGGTTAGGTGGTGTTTTTTTTTAAATCTTTATTACATTTACTTATTTTTATGTGGTGCTGAGGATCGAGCACCATGCCTCACGTGTGTGAGGCAAGCACTCTGCCACTGAGCCACAAGCCCAGCCCCTAGATGGTGTTTTGTTAGGTTACAAACATGATCATTCCCTACACAATACCCACTCTTTGAGACCAGGAGAAAATTTTCTTTTATGTCTCAGTACTACAATAATTGTTTTTACCAAGCAACTCAGTATTTTATGATATGACTATGGATTATATGCCTTCTTTACTTTGGCTGCTAGAAAGCTCAGAATAAAACCTGTGGCCTCTCCCTCAAATTTTTCTTTGATTAAAAGCCTTACTTTTATGTCACAGAGTATGAAATTGACCTTAAAATCATCACCTTTTGGTGAACAATTAGGTCATTACAACCTTTTTACTATGATAACATTAAGATTAAAATCTTAATAAAAATTATGCCTTTTTTCCCTTTGGTACAATTTTGACTTTTTGTATTTTTTTCTTAATTTTAATATTTGTTTTTTAGTTTTTGTCGGACACAACATCTTTGTTTGTATGTGGTACTGAGGATCAAACCCGGGCCGCACGCATGCCAGGTGAGAGCAGTACTGCTTGAGCCACATCCTCAGCCCTTGACTTTTTGTCTTAATGGATCCTACATATTTTCTTGTTAAGGTTCCTATTCATAAATAGGATATGCTTATCCCATTGATTTTTCTAACCAATTATTTCTATACATATAGGAAAGGTTTTTCACTCTGGTTATCTTTATCATGTATTTACTAAACTAACTGAACTTAATAAATTTTCAGTTGGTTTTCTTGGGGCTTTTGCAATGCCATCTGCTCAATATTAATTAGAGTTCTCTTCTCAAAAATGGTAACTCTTATTACAGTCTCTCATTGTATGGATTAGCTAGAACTTACAGAGTTACACACACACAAAAAAAATATAGTTGCCATCCTTGTTCCCATTAGAAAATGCCTCTTTAAACATAAAGCTGATTGTTAGATTGAAATATTCTTTTTATGTTAATAAAGCATTCTAAATGTTTTCTGAAGATCAGTAATATGCTCTGAATTCTGATTTTTCTCTATATTGTTTTATTATTTATCTTATCTATTAACTCATTTTTCTAACTTTAAACTATGCCTTTATTCCCAGAATAGGTTCTATTTGATTGTGGCAGACTGCTCTTCAAAAGTACTGTGAGGGTTGGGACTGTAGCTCAGTGACAGAGTCCTTGTTTAGCATGTGTGAGGCACTGGGTTCAATCCTTAGTGCCACATAATAAATAAATAAAATAATTATTTTTTTAAAAGTACTATTAAATTTTATTTTATATTTAATTTTAGATGGGATGTCATTGTACATTCACACAAGATTTGCAAACCCTGTGCTAGGTACTTGAGTACAAAGATAAATGAAGTGGTCAGGTGGTGAAACTATTGTGTTACCCTGTAATGGTGAATACATAACACTACACATTTTTCAAAACCCACAGAATTATGTAACATAAAGAGTGAACCTTTACTCTTTATGTTAATAATGTAGCAATCATACTCAATCATAACAAATATACCACACCAATATAAAATGTTAATAACAGAGGAAACTGTATAGGGGAAGAAGGTATATGTATTATCTGCTTAATTTTTCTATGAACCTAAAACTGCTCTAAAATATAAGATCTAACAATAATAATTGCAGGGAGAAGTAACTGAAAACAAATCAGGACTGGACATCGAATGGAAATATGCAAATTGAAACAAGTGATTGTTCCATTATGGCACAAGAGTGGCAGACACTTTTTTAAAAATAAGCTAGGCATGGTGGCACATGCCTTTACAGCTACTTAGAAGATTAAGGCAGAGGAGTCCAAGTTTGAGGTCTGCCTCGACAACTTAGTAACAACCTATCTCAAAATTGGAAACAAATTTTTTTAAAAAGGATTGAGGATGTGGCTCAGTGATTAAATGCCCCTGGGTTCAATCTCCAGTATGCGCCCTCCCCCAGAAACAACAACAAAGCTGGATGTGGTGGCAAATGCCTGTAATCCCAGCAATTCTGGAGGCTGAGGCAACAGCATCACAGGTTTGAGGCTAGCCTCAGCAACTTGACAAGACCCTCTGCAACTTTAAGTCCCCATCTCAAAATTTAAAAAAATAAAAAAATGGTTGGGGACATAGCTCAGTGACAAAGCACCCTTGAGTTCATCCCCAGTACTAAAAAAAGAAAAACAATCTTACAAATTATTCTGTTTCTTTGAGAAATTTTGGTGCCTACACTAGGATCCTACAGGACTTATTGCTATCAAGATCTTTAACTGGTATGACCTTATCATCTCTCTGGGTTTCTATACCCTGATCTTTCAATGTCAAGTGCCTCCTACCCTAATGCTTAATTCGAGGGGTGGAGGCGGGGAAATCAACATACAAAAAGGCAAAGAAAGAGCCTCACTCAGGAAGACTACCTCCCAAGCTCTGCTGAGGACATGGTCATGTAACCTTAATTCATTGCAAATACTGTCCAGTAAAACAGAAAATATAGCCTCTTTTTCCAAATGTGGTACAAGGAAGACTGGCCTGAATATAAACTGGGGACCTCAGATCATGACTAACGTGCCTTGCAGTTCAGAGAAGTAGCTTGGAGCCATATAACAATGGTATAGTAAGACAGTAGTACGCATTTGTTAGCAGATAAAATAGAAGTCAATATTTATTAGAAATTTTATATTACAAATCACTTCAGGTAAAAAAGGATTACAGACTATAACTCTTGAACCCACGACTAGCTTTAGCAAGTGTTAATATTTTGCCATGTTTTTGTCTGATTTCAGTGTAAAAATCAAAATTTTTTACCAAGTAAGCTCTATTTAAAGTTGTTATTCAAATCATGTAGGTACGCATGTATGCATCATAATTGTATGTATTTTAATGTATCTTAAGGATATTCTACTGTGCCTGTCATCTTACAACTTGCTTTTCCATTAAGCATTACTATTTTTAAAGTTTTTTATTTTGAAATTTTTTTACCAAGTTGATTCATTTTAACTTCTTTGCAGCATTCAACTGTATATGACTAAAAGTGTATTTATCCCCTTCCCTATTACTTATGTTTTTTATAAATTTTTAGTATTAAAAAATTACTACAGCTGGGCATGGTGATGCACACATTAGTCCTAGTGGACTCCGGAGGCTGAGGCAAGAGGATTGTAAATTCAAGGACAGCCTCAAAAACTTACTAAGAACCTTTCTTAAAATAAAATGAAAATAAAAAGGCTGGAGATATAGTTCAATGGTAAGTGCTGCTGGGTTCTATCCCCAGTAACAAAACCAACCAACTACAATATTCTCTGTCTTCCTGTTGGGGGAAGTAAGGAAAAATGAAATGAGCGGTTCTGTCTTGGGGCAATCCACACCTCTTCCTAACAGATTATAGAATATAAAGGTTTATGACAACTTTTTGCAAACTACATTGAGAATGGGGAAGAATGGACTAACTCAATGCGTTTCAACTTGTGATTTTTGAAATCAAGTTGCAGATTGAAGAAAAAATGTAAAATACAAAATATCAAAATGCATAGGGAGGACTGGGGTTGTAGCTCAGTGGTAGAGCGCTTGCCTAGCATGTGTGAGGCATTGGGTTTGATTCTCAGTGAAAGAAGATAAAAGAAAAAAAAAGGAAGGAAGGAAGGAAGGCCCAACATATATTTTAAAATGCATAGTGAATGGGTCTTACATCATGAAACCTATTTCAGGTTTGTACAAATATATGCAAATCCATGTAAAACGTTCTTTATTGTGCTTCCCCTCCACCTTCTTCTTGGTACCAGGGATTGAACCCAGGGGTCCTTAACTACTGAGTCACTCCTCAGTCTTTTTTTGTTTTGTTTTTTAATTTTGAGACAAAGTCTCTCTAAGTTGCTAAGGCTAGCTTTGAATTTGTGATCCTCTGGCCTCAGCCTCCTAAGCCACTGGGATTACAGGCGTTTACCATTGTGCCCAGCTATTGTGGCTCTTGATTTAAAAAAAAAAAAAATGAAAAATACCAGCCAAAAATATACCCAGAACTCAGGGATGGAGTCATAAAAGTAACACTTGAACTAAGGATGACTAGGACACATGGCTTCAGGAACAACTATGAAGAGAGACAAGTACTACATATTAATGGTACAATTAACTATATATGCTCAATTATAAAAGTCAGGAGAGAACAGGAACAGAAAGGGAAAAGCCCTACAGAGAGGGACCAGTAAGAATCAAGACCTAAAGGAGGAATGGTGTAAAGTAGGGTTAGGAAGTGCTACATATGCCATTGACATTGTCATTTGTTCATTTTGAGACAAGGTCTTACTATGTTGCCCAGGTTGGTATCGAGTTTGGTGGACTCAAACAAGCATCCCACCTTATCCTTCAAGCAGCTAGGACTACAGCCATATCAGCATGCCAGGTTTGAATATACACCACTTAGCTACAGGCTGGAATAGGAGGCAGGGAAAGCATTG